CATTTGTCTTTCAAAATTTTTTTTTGTCACTATAAGCTTCGTAGACTTGACTCTCCATTTTTAAAAAGATTTAATATTTAGTACTTAGTCTTAGGTTTCTGGTTTCGTCCTCTTTACGATGAGTGTAAAGCTTGATGTGGATTTAGTAATGNAGTAAAATCAAAAAATTTGTGACTTTATATACAGAAGCAAAATGATCTCTATCTCATGTTCGTTTTCAAGCCAATAAACTTCAATCTTCTTCTTCGTTAACCCTAATCTCATACTTTGTTCGTCAATCTGAACCACCAGCACCAAATTNAGGATTATACCTAAAAATAAGAACGGATTTCTATCGAGTCCCGCTCTGATACCAATTGAAAAAGCAGTTTTGTGGCTAGATCTCTATGTTTNTTTTTGTAACGAGTATGTATGAGCATAAAATAAAGAACACATAGAATTTTTTCACGAGGTTTGGTTTTCCTACATCCCCGAGACCTAGTCTAAAATCAATCCATTAGAAAAGACCGTAACCTACAATTGCTATATGGCATACCACCACTCTTTTCTACATGGACAAACTATGAAGATAGGTATCAAGCACGTAAGCCTGACAACCAACCAGCCGCACTGGTGCATCACCGTCTTCTCAACGGCTGCAATCTTCATAGAGAAACCACCATCAACATGGTGGGACGATGCCACACACATGTGTGCCTCTCAAAATAAACACTAGGCGCGTAACTCTTTTTGTCAAGCCTTTTGTCTTTTATACTACCACCATGAAACCCTCACGTTTCATGTCATGTGGGTTTTTAACCTCTCTCATAATTGGAATTTATAATTCAATAAAAGCACAATCTCAATTTTCTCCACGTATTGGAACAGCTCCGCATGTATTCCAGCAGCTCCATCTCGTATTCTAATGCTCCAGAAACCCCTATTTCAGATAATTTTTGTTGCCTGTAAAAGTTAGAATGGAAACATAAACGTTGAAATCAAAGACATGAGGAGTAGGAGAAAGTACCTTATTATACCAAAAAAGTCAACAATGTTACTCAATAACAATGTTGGTCAATATATTCAACAAATATATAATTAATTATGTTTAGAAATATATTTAACTATGTTTGTTTGTCAGATTTAGAAACAAATGTTGACTATATTGAGCAATATTAACAATATGGTCAACCATTTTTTAAAAAAAATTATTTGAGGTATCAAATGTTAAGTAATTAAACTAATATTGAGTAAACCGTAAAACAATCATTGTTGGGAGCCAAAAAAAATATGATTATCGTTTTCAAGATGTGGTCAAAAATCTTAACACAAGAAGCCTCAAGGAACATCACCCGCAACATCAAGGAACCCGATTCACGATGGTCTCGGACTCGCAATGATTGATTAGTTCTGATGCTTTTCACCTTGATATCTATGAAATCATGCAAGATATCGCTACAATCGCCATGGATCTCAAAGTTTCTTTCATGTTTATCCCTAGATTACAAAACGAAGAAGCAGATCTTTTAGCAAAATCAACTTTAAAATGTTGTACCACCGTTTTTAATGAATAAAAACCAAATTTTGATTAAAAAAAAAGATGTGGTCAAAAATCAAAACTATGTAGAAGGCAACTATATCATAAATAATTTAAATGTATATTTACATTATAATTGTGTTATCGACATAAATAGTCTTAAAGTATTTTCAAAATATGTTTTATAAATAGTTAATTATATTTCTCAATATAATTAACTATGTTTGTAACGCCCGTGAACCAAATTCAGTGAATTTTGGTCGTGTGTCGATCGACACACGCTTTAATAAACCGACCGTTTTGGTTCAATTGTTGGTTTGGCTGGTTTGGGTTAAGGGAACCCTAGGGCATGATATAAAAACGCATGGAGATGTTTTTGCAACCGATTTTGGAGAGGAAAAGGAGAGGATTTCGTAGGTTGTGAGAGAGAATAAGAGATTGTTGTTTGGAGACAGTTCTGGCCCGTTTTAGAAGAATAGAGGAACGGACACTCTAATCAGATCGGATTGGAGTGAAAATTCTAGGGTAAGTTCTTCACTCTCATATCTAGCTTCAGGCGAAATAGGTTTGTCAATTGGATTAGTATTCCGAGAGTTATCTTTCTTTTTCTAAGAGATATTTCTGCAGTTTTGGGTTTGTGAACGGTCCATTTCGAGGGAGAATTTCCGTCGCACCAGAAGTACTTAGGAGACGATTCACCTATCTGTGTAAAGCTCTCTCTGTCTAGTTTCTAGATCAGGTTTCCGATTTTGATTCGAAGGTAATCTCCGTTCTCGGTGTGCTTTCGAAGTCAGCGTGTCATTCCTATTTTCTGAAACCCTAATTCTGTTTAGGTGATTATTTTTGGAGAAAGGATCGTACATTGGTTAATTTCGAGTTGGGAGAGTGAAATCGGAGGTTGGGCGATTTAGGGTTGTGTGTTCTTCGTGTTCATCCTCATTTTCAATCCGGAATCGAAGTGAGTGCATGACCATGGCTTATCTGGGTAAAGAGAATGTCAGAATGCGTTTGATTGATGTGTGATTCTCTTGTTGATTATTGTGTTATGCATCGTTGTTTGATCGCTTGGTATTGTGATATTTTCTTATGCATGTGTGTAT